TATACGTCGCGAACTCGAGCCAGCACAGAAACAAGGTATTCCCCTATCGAGAAAGCGGCATTGGCACTGGTTAGCGCGGCGCAAAAACTACGCCCGTACTTCCAGGCACACCGAATCACTGTCCTAACCAACCTCCCGTTAAAAAAGATCCTAACCTCAATGTAGGTATCAGGGCGGATGGTAAAGTGGGTCATCGAACTATCAGAGTACGACATCCAGTACGCTCCGCGTCCAGCAATAAAGGCGCAAATCCTGGCAGATTTCATTGCGGAGGGAGTAACCCTAAAGACAGCACCGGAAGGAGTGTGGGAGGTTTATGTAGACGGCGCGGCGAGCAAGCACGGCGCCGGTGCAGGGGTAGTCGTGCGCACACCCACAGGTGTTGTGCACGAAATAGCGATCCGATTCAGAGCCCTGAAGACAACCAAGAGTCCACGGTCAATACAACCCAAATCGCGGAAGATGACTGGAGAACCCCGATCATAAGATTCTTACAAGACGGCGTGGTGCCAGAAGATGCAAAAGAAGCATGGACCTTGAGGCAGAAGGCGGCCCGATGCACAATAATTGGCCTGGACTTATACCGACGATCATACTCCGGAGCATATCTCAAGTGCATCGGGAACGACGAGGCACGCAACATGGTGCGCGAGCTGCATGAAGGAATGTGCGCGATGCACGCCGGGGCGCGCAGTATGGAGCGCACCATACTGTTACACGGGTACTATTGGCCGCGTGTGAAAAAGGACACAAAGAAGTACGTTGACGAATGCAACAAGTGTCAATTACATGCGCCAGCACCATCTCCCATCGACCGAGTTCCAAGGCAACCTGAGCGCCTGGCCCTTCGCGCAATGGGGAGTAGACCTTCTGGGCCCATTCCCAACAGCAAAAGGGAAGCGCAAGTACATAATTGTGGCGGTGGACTACTTCACCAAGTGGATCGAGGCGGAGGCGCTGGCTTCTATAACGGCGCACCAGGTAACCCGCTTCTTAAAAAGTAATATCCTGGCGCGCTACGGAGTCCCGAATGCGTTCATCTTCGATCACGGCAAACAGTTTGACTGCGCGGAGGTCATAGACTTCTGCGACCAAGTGGGAACCATCGCGAGGTTCGCATCGGTAGCCTACCCCCAGGCCAACGGCCAAGCGGAGGCAGCCAACAAATCCATCTTGCACGGCCTCCATACGAGATTAGACGAAGCCAAGGGCAACTGGGCGGATGAGCTCAACATGGTGCTATGGGCGCATCGCACCACCTACAAAGTGGCAACGAGCGAAACCCCATTCGCGCTCACCTATGGCACAGACGCGGTCATACCCATAGAGGTGACGTTCCCAACATACCGGGTCATGGCGTACAACGAGGCAGACAACGATGAGGCACGCCTGCTGGACCTAGAGCTAGCACAAGAACGACGAGATTTGGCAGCCATCAAACTAGCTGCGACTAAAGCGCAAGTAGCCAAATACCATAACGCGAAACTGGTCCCGCACAAATTGGTTCTCGGAGATCAAGTGCTACGCAGGAACTTCCGCCCCGACCCCAAACATGGCAAGCTCGCTTCAACATGGGAAGGCCCGTACCTGATCCGAGAGGTTTTCGGCGCCAATACCTTCAAGCTCAGCGAATTGGGGGCAACAAAATTCCAAGAACATGGAATGCGCAGAATCTCAGGAAGTATCATAGCTCAAGTTAATGTAACATTTGTGCACGGCCACAAGAAATCAGCAATAATATTGACTTCCCAGTTACTCGCGCTTTCACAGTTCGAAAGGACAAAAAATAGCAATAACTACGAGTTATTTGCGCCCCTCTTAGTTCGAAAGAACAAAAACTAGCAATGACTACGAGTATCTGCGCCCTTACAGTTCGAAAGAACAAACAATAGCAATAACTAAGAGTTATTCGCGCCTCCACAGTTCGAAAGAACAAAAAATAGCAATAACTACGAGTTATTCGCGCCCCTCTTAGTTCGAAAGAACAAAAAATAGCAATGACTAAGAGTTATGCGGGCCAAAAGGGCAGTACCCAAAAGTTATGCGGGCCAACACATGAACGAAATGGAAGTACTTTGGATTTCCTAACACGGGAACAAAAAAAACAAAAAAAACAAAAAAAAAACAAACACAAAGCAGCGCTTCTACACTTAAACCTACGATGAGGACTTCTCAGCAGTAGTCTCAGCGGTAGTGACGGCCACATCCCCATCCGCTGCCGCACCCGAATCCCCCTTATCCTCCACCGCAGCTTCCTTATGCGCCTCACCACCGTCATCCTCCTCATTCCCTTCTTCCCCCTCCTCTTCCTCCTCATCATCTCCTTCCTCATCATCCTCAGAATCCAGCTCCAGTGACTTCTTCTCACGCAGCCAAAACTGTACATGCTGCACCATACTGCGACTGTTCCACCGGTAGCTAGGAACCTCCGGCCGCACCTTCTTGACAACTGCTATGACCACTTTGGTCATCGCATCCGCCAGTATCTTCCCAAAAGAAGGTGAAGATTTGAACTGGCAAACCGCCGCGACCTGCGCTTCACGCACAGCTTCCGATTTGGCCACATCATGAAGCCGAACCAAATCCCTCTTCTCCTTCTCAAAATCCTCCCGAGCCTGCTTCATCTTTTCAGCATGATCCTTCTCTAATTGGCTCTTCTCCCGCTCCCGCTCCTCCGCCAAACGTTTCTTTTCCCCTTCAAACTCCTCCCGCAGCTCCCCTCGGACCCGAGTCCGCACTGCCTCCAATTGCTCTTCCAGCCGGCTCTGCAAAACGCCCAGCTGCTCTAAAGCATCGTCGGCCTTGTTGGTAGCCAACTCAGCGCGCCCCTCAGCTCCAGTCAGCTTACCTTCAAGCTGCACAATCCTCGATTCCTATCCTTCATCTTCGCGCGCTCTCGGCTCCGCTCCTGTTGAGCGCGGAAGGTCGCCAGCAAACCCTGTATCCACAACGCCACAGGGCTTAGTAAAAATAAAAAGAAGAGAAGAGGGGCAACTCCCGCAACTACGCCAATCTTACCGCGAAGTGCACTTGCGCAATATCCTGAAGCGGATCAGACTTCTCCAGTCGCGACGGGACACTCAAGAGAGGTCCCACTGCCCGGAGGGCATTGTTCGCAGCTGCAACGTTACATACCGCGCCCGTGTGGATCCGCAGATGGCGGAAGTAGTCAATGGCACCACCAGCCATCTGGGGCAATTTCTGCTGAATTGTAGCCCCAAATGAGCCACCAGCCGCGTTACCTTCCGGCCGAACGCTCCTGTTCACTGGGGACGTCGGCTCAACAATTACAAGCGGCTGCTGTCTCGGTGTTCGCCTAGATTGCTCCACAACGCGAGCAGCCTTCGCAGGTTTCTCTACAACCACAGGCTGCTCAACCTCTTTCCTCTTCGCGCTCTTAGGCCGTGCGACCTCTTTTCCCTTCTTCTTCCTAGCGCGAGGTGCCTTCACAATGTCATCAACTGACATCATACTTGCCAAGCTGGAAAAATCAACACCTGCGCCAATAAGCCGTAAGAGGGCAGTTAATATGATAGAATGCAAAATGAAAGAAGCACAACTAACCATTGGCAAAAAGTTCTTCTAAACAAGGTTCGCGGACTCCGCCATCGTATAAGTTGAACTTCTGATGCATGCACGCTTCGTATTCATCATCGAGCTCAGCGTAATGCCCCAGGTCCGATTCATACCCATGTGTGCCGCCCTTCTTCCACTCGGTCGGCTCCGCCATAAATTCACTCGCCCACTCCCCGGGGGCCGGTTTAACATAAAAGAAGCGCTCAAACCAAGTCTTTTTCAACTTGGGAGACCCGTACACGAAACCCTCAGGTCTCTTGTCACGGCGCTTGATAGAAAGGCAGTCGCTCCTCCTCGTGGGATCCTTGATCTTATAAAACTTACGGAATAAGCCGTAAGTTGGCTCAATCTTAAGCCTCTTGCACGCGAGACGGAGGCAGCTCGCGTGCATTATCACCGAAGGAGAGAGGCGCCCAACTGAACAATTGAGACGCCTGTACAGGGCGCATAGCAAAGGGTCGATGGGGAACTTAAACCCCATCACCCAGTACTCGATGTACACCCCAAACCATCCCGCGGGACAGTTTCCAACCATACTTCGCGCGGACGGAACCGCGTACTCCCAATGGGGGGGCAAGCCTAACCCACGCACTATGTTCATCACGTCCTGGTACCCGTAATTGGACGCGTGATCAGGTCCCCTAAGAAGATTGTCACTGGGCGCGCGCTGATCGCCCCACATCTCCGCCCAGTCAATCACGGTGTAAGCCGCGCCCACACCTCGGAAGCCCAATCAGCTCATCGCTTCCGTTACACGCGCGGTGCATCGTGGTTCTGACTGAGTATCAGACCCTTCGCGCCTCTCCGAGTCAGCCACCCCAGATGCACCGCCGCGAGGCCGCCGGATAATCAATACCCCACGCGCACCAGCGCTCGCCTGGCAACTCCCGGATGCAATGATCCCCTCGTCGGGTCCCCAGTCATTATCGACGTCGAGCGACGGCGACGCCGCCGAAACTACATCGCCACCGTCGGCTCCGCCATCGTCCCCATGCCCAGAATCATCCAGATCCAGCGAAGGATCGGTAGAAACACGTGAAAAAGAAGAGGGATTACCTTCTTCGCCCTGCACGACCTCGGTCTCGTTGATGTTGGTGCTATCCATTATAATACTTCGAATCAGCAACAGCAAGATGAGAATCGAGGTTGTAGAAGAAGGAGAGGAATCCCAGAGACGGCAAGAAAGCACAAAGAAACAAACGATAGTTTTCTTTCACGAAAGCAAAGTGAGTGCCGACTTCTGGGCAGAGATGAGGTATTTATACTCGACAACGGAAAGCTGAAGGGTTAAAGTTGCATCGAGAATTGCAACCGTCAGAGCCTTTTCAAATTTCAAAACGGCCGCCAAAACCGACCAACCGCACACAGACACGTGGCAACCTACCGTCCCTAGGCACTAGCCGCTGACGTCATAGGTTCCGCACAGCGCCTGGGGGGCAGGATACGCCCACAAAGGAAAAAAACACGCTCAAAAACAATACCAACTAGGAAAGCGTCACGCACAACCACACTCGCGGAACATTACCGCTGGGGGGCAACGCAAAAACAGAGGCTTCACGCGCAACCAACCCAGGAGATCTCGGACACACGCGGAACATCACCGATGGGGGGCAACGCGAAGACGGCGCGCACAACCAATCCCGGAGATTTCGGATGAACGGGAATCGGGTGAAGGATACACCAGTTGTACGCGCCACCGACGATCATGCGAAGACCAGAGCAGACACTAACTCACCCAGATCGCGTCAATCATAATCAACAGGCGGAATCGCGCAGATCCGAGTCGCTCGCATGAAGATCAAACAGGCGGCATTCGCGGAATACCCCCTGATGGGAGCAATTGTTGGGGATGTGACTAGGATCTCAACACTCCGAAGAAATAACCAAGGATGCTCACGTCAAAGCCAACGCACGAGTCGTGCTAGAGCAAAGCGCGAGTGTAGAGACCGGCCCCAAGGAACGCGCATAGACGCCAAACGACGGCACTTTGGACAAGCGCGGGCCCTCACCGAGAAGTTGTGGAAGCGGCGCCGCGTCACACGAAGGGTAGTCAACATCATAGTCCTAGGTATAGTCATGGCTAAGGGTCTTGTCACCCATAGGGATATGGTCTTTGTCCCTGACATGTCAGAGGTCATGTCACCGTACCGTAGTGGTCACGTCATCGTACCATCATGTAACTCACCCACCACCATGTAGCCTATAAATATGGCATTTACTCTGGTGGGTGAGGGGAGGGGATTTTTGGGGGACTCTATCTCTAAGATCATTATTTTCTCTCACTAAACACACTCTCCCTCCCATTCGCCTCAAAGTTCTTGTTCTATCAAGCCGTCCATTCTTCTCGACCCATTCTAGTGAACCTCACTCCTACACTTAGTTAGGTTCAAACAATATGCTTCTACTAATGTACTCAATAACATACCATAAGCATTGCACGTGCATGGTTGTGTGTTAGTGTATGATAACGAAATTAGGTTTAGGGCTGACCCCATCACCCGCATTCCGGAAGGGTAGAAGCTTCGGAGTATGCTCAGAAGTTTAGCAGTTCGTGACAAGGATCAATGGTCCTAGAGGATTCCAGTACGAAGATTCGAATCTCTTGCATTTACTAGGACTCTAGACTTGATGCCCATTTATTCAAGATATTTATGACTTCTGCATATGCCAATTTCAAGATATTTATGGTTGTCGGTTTAAAGAGGGTAATTTGGTAATATTAGTGTCTGTCCGAGTTCGGGTGTTACATTTAGGTATCAGAGTCTGGATTCCCTCTGTCTGCACTTTGTAAGTGAGATACTAGGATTCGGTCTCAATGTTTTGAACGTTGTTTAAAAATTTTATGTAACAATATTCAGTACTTGATTTCAAAGCATAAAGTCTCGTCCACTACGACATGGCAGGATGCCAGTAAGAGTGTGTGATTAGCATACGAATAAATAAGACATATTTTATTTATGATGCTCAGGATGTCGACTAGTGGGGTGGCCAAAGAGGCCGAGCAGTAACTACCCCCCTCCCCCCGCAGTACAAATAATAATAGTTCCTCTTCCAAGAATCCTCCCTGCAGCACCGCTCAAACCCCCATCCCAGGTCTCTCTTTCTCGTTCGATTTTTTCCCCATGCAATAAAAGCAGCAGTGTCGCCATCGCCCCGACCCCATTCCATTCCATCGATCCCCAACACACATTCGGTTTTGGTGGTATGATCAAGATAACCCTCGTGATTTAGAACTCGTTTCATTGATAGTCTAATCTGAAGCTTGTATTTTAGTACTACAGTGGTTGCGGTAACGTTTGAAGGTTCAAAACATCGATCGATGAGGAGATCGACTTCCAAGGTTGTCGAGTCTAAACCTAGGTACGTTCTAGAGGTAAGGGAACTCGATCCCTTTGGGTTAGATCAATCGATTTGGTGATTTTTCGTGAGTGTGCAATTCTGGGTTCTAGCGACAGACTTTACAAGCTTTTAGTGACTGATTTTGTGTATTCACTAAAGCTGTAGGGAATTTCCAGAAATGTGTTTTAAGATGTGTAAATTGTTTCGAGCCACTTTAGTTAGTTTTTTCTAAGTTTAACAATTTTATAAATTGAGGGAGGGCTAGGAGATGCCTGTAATTTAATTTGGCGATTTTTGAAGATGATTTACTATTCTAAGAAATTTGTTGAACATTTACTTTAATTAAATAAAAATTATGCCGAGGTGTTTTTAAGATATTGATAATTTTACAGAATGTAAGTCCTCATAGTTGACATGGGAAAATTATTATATGGCTTTCTAACGAGGTTTATGTTGGGTGAACAATTCGTCTAAGTAAAATTAATTAGAAAAATGGTGGTTTTCGAATGGAGTATTTATAGAAAATTTTTAGAGGATGTTAAGGGATCTTTGTCCATTAAAATGGGTTTTAAATCGAGAAACATTGTCTATGAAAATGAATTTTTTATTAATATGTTTCCTGAGATAGTTTGACTAAGGAGGGAAAGAAAGGTGAGAAAGATAGTCGCCGATCAAGTTTTGTAGTCTCGCGTTATGAAGAGGTTCATGCCGGTGAGTAGGAGAGGAAGAGTCATGACAGGCGGAGGCGAGAGAAAGGCCGGGAACTCGGCGATGACGATCGCGCCTGTTGATGGTAACGCGATGGAGAGGCCCCGATCCTATCCTCCTAGGCGACCCGGGGTGTCAGCCGTCAAAAGTTGGCCTCCGAATTGTGGAAGGAGGAGGGACCTTAGCAATGATGGTGGCAGAGCTCCAACAGTGGGGATCGTCGAAGAGGAAGAGGAGGAGTAGAAGGAGGAAAACCATCTGGAGCTTGAGCATGAGTATGCCGACGTTGACTCGACTAAAGAGGTGACTGTAAAGGGGGTAAAATCTTCGTCGAGGTTTTTTAGTTTATTTCTTTAATTTCAAGTTATGCTAGTTAATTTACGAGTTTGCGGGATCATGTGTGTGAGGCAATCCCACCGCCTACTTAAGGTGGAAGCACGCGTTGCGCTATGTATGTATGGATCATGGTAATATGAACCCCCAGGTGTTTGGGCCACTACTAGACGCGGTAGATGGTCGGGTCACTGTTGAACGACGATACGTAAGGTAGTAGTTGACTGGACTTGGATTGGATGGCGATACGTAAAGCAGTACCATTGCCTTGAGGATAGGGACAGCGAATGGCGATACGTAACGCGGCAAACCCTAGTAATATGTATATGAGTTAAGATAGAAGTAGAGAACTTCTATAGGCTATTAAGGAATGATTATTTAAGAGCAGAAAGCGAGAACGGATTTCTATCTAGAAAGAAATTCTAATAATGTGTTGGTGAGGATTTGTCTAGGCCAAAGACTTTAGAAAGTAACGACGAGATTGTCCCCTTCTCACTCACTAGGTCGAGGAAGGGTTAGCGGAGATGGATTCCGAAAAGATGCAAGGCAAAGCAAGAGGCTGTTTCTGAGCGGACGTGATCGAGGGGAGCTCAGCGAGAAGATAGAGCTATAGTTATTTTCATTATTTTTGTTCATGATTATGAGTTTATAAACTATAGATTCGAGGTTTTGAATTTAGGTGGTTTTATTTACCATGGATTGGGGTCTCCCAACTAGTTAGGGCATTCCATTTGAATTTTTTGTGGAAAATACTTGGATTTATTTATTTTATTGAGATTTTTTTGGACACTATTTCTATCGGCTCCGGAGCCATGAGTATTTCTATTTGCTTAAAAGTATCGGGTCGTTTCATTTTAGAATCAGGATGAAAGCGTAATGTAACACCTTAGGCAAACCCCACATCGACAAAGCACGAGCGAGATCAATTGTTCATAAGTAAGAAACCGACCTTAATTGACAAGACACGTTTTGGGGTGAAATAGAGGAGTTCTTGTGAGAACTCCAAAGTTAAACGTGCTCAGTGTAGAATGAAACATGGATGATCTTATGGGAAGTCACCTTGAATTGCACCCCAAGTCGAAAACCGTGAGGGTCGAGGCACAAAGCGGACAATATCTTCGTCGAGAAACGGTCCAGAATGTTAGAAATCCGTTGCATACCTATCCTCAATCTTGCAGTTTATTGGTAACATAGTGCGCTTGCTCTTAAATCATTCATTACATTGGTTATCTCGCTTGTTGTCTCCTTCTTTTCAAGGACTTTTCGCTGATCTGGTTTCCCAGATCCACGATTCCTTTTCTTAGGGATGTACTATATCCGCAAGGGATTCCTCATTTGATCCATGTACATGAATGTGCCTCCTCCTAGCCTTTGTGTATTAATCCCATTACTTCTTGCCAGGCCCCCAATGACCTACTTAGTTCCTCATTTGCCTTGCTGAGGTGCACCTAGCGTTGCTTAAAGTCTAACTTTCCACTGCTCCTTGAAACCCTAGCCCTAAGTTCGATTCTCGTGAAAGTAAGCCATCCATGCATCCTTTCCTCCTGATGATGGCCGCCACTTGCCGTAACTCATTGCTTACTATCTGTCAACGTGTTAGATACTTATCGTCTTTCTGAACCTTATAGCAATCAAATTGCATCCCCGTAGGGTAGGTGCTTCCTTCGACTACCTATTCTCGCTCATGAAAAAGAGTTAACTAAATTACCCTCTTAGGAATCTACTCTTCTCCTTCCCGAGGCGTATAACAGTCCCAAGGGGCCTCATAGAGTTATTTTCTTATCATGATTAAAGTATACTGGAATTTCTATAAATACTCAAAGATACCCTGACTCGTTTAGCCAAACCCTTAACTTGACACCCCTTTTTCCTTTCCTTTAAAACCAGAAACCTTGAAAAACTCAGAGTTGATGCTTCCTTAAGCGCGGATGCTTCCAGGGACCGCTTAGAAGATCCCTTGCTCGAAGCTGGTTCAAACAGTTTCAACATCCCCGAGCGCCTGGCCACAAGTTGTGTCTAGGTAGCTGAAGGAGGGACTGAGCCTGGGACCGCTGACTGAGAGATAAGAGGAGAAAGGGCAACGCTTGATGCACCAGCACCAGGTTTAGGTGGTCGAGCGCTGGAGGCATAACGGCGAGTCCCTGCAAAATAAGTACATAAGTAAAGGACATGAGAGGCACGCTCAGCAAGTGAAGAAAGAAACTAACCGTGAAAATGTCGAATTATCTCCAAGGCAGAGTATCATTCCCCTTGGGAGGAAGATGAAATTGGACCGCCTTCACTATCCGCTTAAGAAGCGGTCTGAAGGGCTCAAGAGAGTCAATATCTGCATTCTAATCCTTCTTATCACTAACTGAGAACCCAGTAGGCGGTCAATGTCACCAGAGTTCCATTTTCGACTCGGACGAGCAAAAAAGTACTTCTTAAACCATGGAGAATCTAACTTAGGCGCTCCAAGCACAAAACCAACGTGGGCCTCCCGCCTATAGCATGAACAGTAATTATCTGAACCGCGCATTTTGTATGGCAAGCGAAACGCATCAAAGGAGGGCGTCTCGCCGAGTTTCTCACAAATAGCACGGAAAGCAATGGAGTGAAAAATAATATCGGGAGACAGGCGGCCCAACGTGAAGTCAAGATAATGTAGAGTTCTCGTCAAGATGGGGACAAGCAGAAATGTTGGGCCGATCCGAATATGCTCCACGTGAATGGGAATCCATCCACCGGGACAAGAGTCGGACCGTCCAACAGGCGAAGGATCAGCATAGTCCCATTCAGGCGGGAGACCATGGTTTTTAAGCTGGCGGAGAACCTAGTGAGGTTTATAAGCAGCTTCGTTGGGCGGTCCTTGTTGGTAGGCGGCCTCCGGAACTTCCTCAATCTCCCACATGTCTTCGTGTAACCGCACACGATATGTGGTATTGTTGATAGCTTGGAACGCCTCCACGGGAAGCACATCAGACACCAGGATTGTGACTGGTGTGCATTATCGGCTTCTTGGCGGTCATCAGCAACCCGGTCCCCATTGTTTTAGGAAAGGACAACCACAGGCGTATCACACGTAGGTTCGCTCTCGGCTTCGGAATAACTAAAGTCCCCAAGGTTGTCGCCAACTGTTGAGAATGTTACCCGCTTACCAGCGGAAGTACCAACATTGACTAGGCAGTCCTTGCCTATCCTTAAAAGGCCATACCAAGACTGCCTAATTTTTTCCCTATATCTGGTTAAAAGCTCAAAAATCGCGCACTAAATCTACATTCTCTACAACCCATTCTAGGTTAGACAGCATAAAAGGAAAGAAGTTAAACATACCTTAAGCGGCCTATTTAAATCCAGAAGACCGACCGCTGGACCCGCCACCTGTCTTTGGAGAAGATCGGAGAAGACTGGTGCCCGCGCTAGAGGCTCGGACCTCGCCAAAAGTTGTCGCAGCGGCAACGTCGTTCGAAAGGTTTCTGTTCTGACTATCGAAGGGGGTATTGCTCTGAGAGTCGATCGCCATTCTCAGTCGTCGTTATTTTTTCTTCTTTCGTTTCTGGGATTGTTTGAGCTTGGTCAAGAAGTTTGCTCGCTCTGGAGAAAGGAGGGGATGATCTCGCATATAGGAAGAAAGGGAGAATTCCGAGCAGCTAGCAATTTTGGTAGAGTGACGATGAGAGCTCGGAAAGAAAACAACAAGGAAGAAGAATGAAGAAAAAGAACGAGTGGAAGGTATAAATAAGAAACCAAAAGGGAAAAAGGGGGCAACGACGCGATGGTTGTGTGACCGAGGCAGAAAAACCTAGTATACGAATTCAAAATAACGGGCAGGAAAAACGAAGTATGGGCTGCTGGTTGTCAGGGCTCGATATTTGAGTGCCGCCATATGGCTAAGCATGCAGAAGGTAGGGAGAACCGCAAGGAGCAAGCCGTTTTGGGGAGGATTTAGAAGAGTGCACCTGTCTGGTATCTTCCTCTTTTCTTCTCAAATTCGCAATCAAACCTTCACAATCACTCTCAACGATCGCTAAGGAGAAAGAAACCTGGATCCAAAGCTTTGTTGGTGAGCATGTACCAGGATAGTAACATTGACATGAAGACTACCACGACTAAAACTTAAGACCCCGTGAATTGGGACCTGCGTTTTTTTACCTTTTACCAATCTCACTAGGTGATAGGCTTCAATTTCATCTCACTGATGTGAGACGATATATTAATATTGGGATTTCCTACTGTAACTTGAAGTAAGACAACTTGATTTTTTACCTACGATAGCAGGTTTCACATGTCGCATTACGTAAAAGACAATAGGCATTACGTAATGGTTACGTAACATATGGTAATCATACGTAAAAGTTGTAAAAGATCATAACGGAAGCCTTACGTAATAGAATGTGTCTTTACGTAATGAGAATTAAGCTTGTGTTACATAAAATGTTAAGTCATTACGGAAGCCTTACGTAACGCTACTAATTTAACTGTTACATAAGAAATAACTGTCATTACGTAACTTTTATGTAATGGGAGGTCTTTTTACGTAATAAGTATTAACCTCGCGTTATGTAAAGTGTTAAGTCATTACGGCGGAAGCCTTACGTAACGCTTTTGATTTAACTGTTACGTAAGAAATAACTATCATTTCGTAACCTTTACGTAATGAATGTGTATTTTATGTAACAATTGCAAAATGTAATTATGAAAGCCTTACGTAATGAAGGTCTCTTTACGTAATGAGTATTAATGTCGTGTTACGTAAAGAGCTAAGTCATTATAGAAGCTTTACGTAACGCTTCCGATTTCAATGTTACGTAAGAAATAACTATTGTTCCGTAACCTTTACGTAATGGAAGGTCTCTTTACGTAATGAGTATTAACCTCACGTTACGTAAAGTGCTAAGTTATTACGGAAGGCTTACGCAACGCTTCTAATTCAGTAAGAATTAAAATATGGAAATCAAATAATGTGAAAAAGGAAAGAAAAAACAAAGAAAGGCAACTTGCTTGGGTGGGGTGGTGACCGGCAACTCCCTCTTGCGGCTTAGGATAGGGCCAGTAACCATTTGTTACTGACCCATGAGTAACTAAATATAGACCTTTAGATCTAAGTGGGTCCAGAAAATTCAGATCTAAGAGTTGTCAATTAAAGACATTTTATTTTCCCTAGTTTTCTTAATCGGCTCTTATCTTCTTCGTTCTAACTCGGATTCAAAAAAATTTGCACAGATGGAACGAGTTCGTTGTGCTCTACCAAATGAGATCAATTTTCAATATATTTCAATAAAAAACTTTTTTACCAACTAAATACCATATGGTAACTTCTTCGTTTTTAAAATCATTTTTGGAAACGTTTGCTCAGAAGAAACGAGTTCATTATGACCTATTGGATCTATAAATTTCTGGGTGAAAAAAATACTAGATCAAAAAGTACCTTACTTCACCACTATGGTGTGTGGGTGGTAACTTGTGGTAACTTGTAGTAAACAATAATAAAAGTCGTAAATGACAGTTATTATACTCCTACTATCATGTATTCAACCTTCTTACCATATGGTATGTTCATACTATCATCGTACGTTTTCTTACCATATGGTATTAAATAGGAGCATACCATACGGTAATGACTGGTAAAAAATAATTCAATTTTTTTGTACTAAAAATATATCAAAGTGGATATCATTTTAAAGAGCACATTTAATCTGATTTATCTGTGCAAAAAAAATTAAATTTCGACTTAAAACGAGAGAGAAATCGTCCGTTAAATATTAAAAGGGAATAGATAAAAGACTTTCCAGGAGAGAAATGATACTGATGTCCTGCTGATGTGGAGAGGTTACTCATGGTTACTGACCATAGGGTTACTGACCTGACCCGTTCCCCCCTCTTGCCAATGATTTTTAACTTATTTTTTTATTTCTTTAATCAATGGTTTAAAATAAGTTTGATCGATTTTAACGGTTTAGATCTATACAAGTTAGCTAACTTGAAATTATATCAAGTTACTGTAGGAGTTCCCATAAATATTTTTCCATATTGAAAGTTTGTAATATGAAGATAAGTTAGATGCTTATTTTATCCATCTATGACGACTATACTTGGTTGTTGGAGATGCCCTAAGCTAGGAGTGGCAGTCCTGTTTCTAGTTAGCGGCTAACTAGCCGATTTAATAAAAAACTGTCGGTTAGCAGCTAACCGAAAACTGTTGGTTGGCCGCTAACCGAAAACTGACGGAAAACAAGGACTGTCGGTGTTCGGAGAGGGAGCGGGCTGCGGTTATCCGAGTAACCGAAGGCGGTTACCCGAATAACCGAACTTCACCGACCTCCACCCCCTAAACCCAATTTTCCCACAACCAACCAGGCCACGCCCGCAAAAACCCTAATTCCCACACCACATTAGACCTCTGACGCATATATCCAAACTCTAGAAACCCTTCAGTCTTCACCCTTCCATTCTGACACCCCCCCCCCCCCAAATCCGATTCTAGAAAACCCTAATTCCAAAAATAAAAAACCTTTCCTACCATTCTCCCCGCACCACGCCTCTCCTCGTCTTGCTTCGCCGGCCGCGCTCATCTCGCCTCCGCTTCCATCATCTTTACGTTCGTTGACTCCGCTCTTCCACCAGCCACCACTATCGTCGCCTCCGCCCGCGATTCGTCCATCTCCGGCAGAAGCAGCTCACCTCTGGCCTTGCTCCTCTCGCTGACCGTCACCGCTCCTCCTTCACAGAGGTAGAGAAAGGAGAGAAGAAGAAGAAGATAAGAGAGGAGAGAAGAAAACGTGCGGCCTTGTTCTTCTCTTTCTTTTCTTTTCTTTTCTTTTTTTTTTAATTTTTATTGCTAGGTAACAAGAGATTAAGAGAGGAGAGAAGAAAACATGGGTGGGTTGTGGGGTTGTTTTTTCTTTTTCTTTCTTTTATTTTTTTTTAATAAACTTGGTTAATTGCGATTATGACCGAACAAAAATCAAAAGTCGGCCGGTCGGCGATCGACTTACCGTGACTTCCTTCACGGTCAGTGGTCGGCAGGCATATGGGACGTCTCAGTTTAACTGATAACGAAGAAACAATTACCTGACATTATATCGAAAAAGTGAGTGATAGATTTTTTTTTCTTTACATTAAATTCGTAGTTTACTAGTTTCATATTGCTACCTATCCATTTGATTCGATATTCGATATCTCGGATTCGACCGACCAGTACGATAGGATTTCTTAAACATTGGTACGTAAAAGTCAATCAACATTTGAAAAAATCATGCAACGTAAAAAAAAATACCACCGTAAAATAGAACGAGCTAATCGTGGTCAAAATATGGAAGTTGAATGATGACACTGATTTTGCACGCAGGCAGTGGCGTAGCCAGGAATTATGCCAAGGTGGTGCAAAAAAAAAAAAAAAACAAAACATAACATAACTTATATTAATTTTTTACAATGAACCACGACGTGTTTTAATAGTCTGAAAAGTAACTAAAATACATTCATCATCCAAACTATCAAGGATGTCACTCTCAATGTAACCAACCAAAAAATCATTCATGACATCATCACTCATTCTATTGCGAAGTGTGTTCTTCACATAGTTCATTGCAGAAAATGCTCTTTCAACGCTTGCTGTGGCAACAGGAAGCAACAATGCCAATTTCAGAAGTCTATAGACTAATGGAAACACCCGATGTTTCTTTGATGCAACCATTTCTCTAGAAAGTTCAGCAATTCCCTTTAATCCTGCAAACCTCTGAACTGTCTTCATATCATATATATAAGCATCAAGTTGATGAAGACCAAGATGTAAAATATCATCTTTGGAGAACTCAGTAGGATAAAAAGTAGCAAGCTTCACCAACTTGTCCTTGTCATAGTCGACAAACAAATCGTCTGGATTTAAGCATGCCACACAACATAGCAAATCTGTGTTTATCTCATCAAAGCGACTATTTAGCTCTTGTAACTGCATATCCACGGCTGTATAAAATAACTCAACCTTGTAGTGATGGAGATTGGTGATTTGCTGAGCATTTCTCCTTGGTCTCCCAAGTGGAAAGTATACATCATCCATGTTGACAATGGGAAGAGATTCCTTCGTACAGGGGAGAGGGCCGACTTCGTACAGGGGAGAGGGAAGAGGAAGCAGAAAGTGCAGTAGGAGAATTAGGGTTCGAATGGGGAAATAGACGAGGTCATTTAAATTTAAGTAAACTAACAAGTTACAGAAGGATAAAATAAGTTAAATGCTAAAATGATACGACAAGGAGCAAGTGGCGTGATGGCTGAAGGTGTTTGCGGATTAAGGGAGGTCACCTGTTCGAAACTTCATTCCAGCAGGAGTATAGCTGTATTTGCCTTGCCAGCCCAAGTTGCAGAAGTATAAAATAAATTAAATGCTAAAATGACACGACAAGGAGCAAGTGGCGTGATGGCTGAAGCTGTTTGCGGATTAAGGGAGGTCACCAGT